TAAAGATCTGTGTTACTGCAACAGGTGGAATCCTTTCACTGCCAAGCAGCCATCATGATCAATATGTATTATTAAACTCATCATCATCATCATCATCATCATCATTGATATCACCATCATTAGAGACATGCAGAGGTTTGGTTCCTCCTTGTGGTAGAAAGTTAATTAAATCCTTTCTTCGTGGTGTCATGATCATTTCATTAAAAGTTTTTCATTATCCGACGTGTGTGTGTGTGTGTGTGTAGTTGTAGAAAACATGACACACTTTGTTGATAAAAATCAGTTGTAGCTCAACATTGCAAGCCAAAGACAAAAGTGATGACACAACCTGCGTACGAGTTCCCTGAAGACTTCATCACTGCCGCACTGAATTTAAGAAAATGGAAATCACTCAACTGTAATATTGAATTTTCATCTTCTGTCATAAACAGTTTTTTGACACAGATGTTATCGCATGTTATTTTACATGTGTAAGAACATATGTGCATACTTAATATTCAATTAAATATTTCTCTCAAACTAGAAATGTTGATAAATTATTTTCTGCACTAGTAGAATATTGTCACTGCCCTCTGTTATTCTATGGGAACAGTTTGATATAACTTTGTTCTGCTTCAGTTATCAGTGTTGAGAGGAGACGTGCGTGAGGATCCGCCAGCGACTGTCGGAACCTCCTGAGATCCGCAGGGTCAAACACACCAGGGGCGTCAGATGGAAGGAGCGAGACCCAAAGGTTTAAAGAGCTTTAACGTCACCCGTCCAACCACCGAGACACCATTTGAAAAATAGCAATTTAACTTTTGTCACCCCGCTGTCCCTGTGACCTTTGACCCCGAGATCCCCAAAGCAAGAAGTCTGACAGGCTGGCCTCATGCCTTCAGCTCCGTCCCTCTGTCACCATGACAACACTAAATCCACACACATACGGTATCCACGCAGGCATGCATTCACCGTCCTCTCTAAAAAACATAAAGCTGGTGCGATTAAAGAATCTCCTCTTCTGTACAAAGCTTCTTATAAAATATCTTGTTTTACATCTTTGTTGTATCGTTAACGACAAAAAAAGAAAAGAACACAGAGGAAATATTACATCGGACTTGCAAAAATATATCTCCACAGTGGCTTCAAACATGTAGAACTCTGCTTTTACGCGACATTAACAGTGACACATGAATGCACCTCGGTATCGCCTCCATTCTGCAGCTCGGCTGATAGTTAATAAGTTAAATCTTTACTTTCGGCATGTCCAGATATCTGAAACCAAATGTTTTCTGCGAGCAAACAAAACAAAAAAAACCTGTGAGAGCAAAGGTAGAGCGGAGAGGTTCTGTCGACTGTTACGAACGTGTAGCAGCGAAGCGGAGGAGCGCAGCGGCCCGCTCACACTCACAGACACCGAGGACGAGACGAGGAATATTCAAGCTGCAGTTAAAGCGGAAGAAAGATAAAGAAATGTCATTTGTTTCCTGAGTTAGTTGATAAAGTTTGGGGCTTCTCTCTCTCTCTCTCTCTCACTCACAGTCTTCACATACACTTTGTCACTTCTTCATCCCCTCTGTTCTCTACTTCCTCCACATTCACCCTCAATCTATCACGTCCTTTCCCCTCTCTCTCTCTCTCTCTCCGTCTCTGAGGGAAGCCAGGACAGTGCAGGAGTGTGTGTGTGTGTGTGTGTGTGTGTGTGTGTGTTTCCAGATAACCCTTGAAAACGAAACCTGAAACAATTAAAAAAAGACATAGATGTGCGCGGCTGCTTTGTGTGTCTGTTTATGTGTGTATTGTGTGGCACAGAAAGGCCTCACATCCGTAGCGCGGACTAGACGAGAAGCAGAAGTAAATCGTGTGTTGAAATTTAAAAAGCCGGCTGACGTGTGTCACAGTGAGCAGGGATGTTTTAGTTGTGAGAGTCTTCAGACGTGGATCTTCCTCCTCCGTTGTGGAAGCTGTGGCTGCGGTGACTGAACTAACGCCAGGGTGGTTTATAGCATGTGAGCTGGTTACTAAAGAAGGTGGTTGATAAGTCCTGTGGCCCTTCACAAGTGCCGGGTCTGCGTTAGAATTTCTCATCGGGGATGACTGTGTTGAAGGGGTGGTCCCAGAACGTGGAAGTGATTCCAAAACCTGGAGAATAAATAAAGGTTCATCCCATATTTTCTATCTTCTATCTGCTAATTCCAGAAATCTGTGTGTCCGTGTTTGATTTCCAGCGCTCACCTGCCCTCTGGTGTTCGAAGTGGTGTTTGACGTGGTAGGCCTTCAGGCTGTACATGTACGAGCCTCTCTTTGGCGAGCCGTAGTGAAGGTAGTAGTGGATCATGTCGTACACAACGTAGCCGCAGAGTCCTCCCACAAACACGGACGTCCCGAGGATCTCCGGGAGCGTGTTCTGCAGGATGACATAGAAACTTCCCACCATCAAGGAGGCCAGGCCGGGGGGGAAGACCAGCCGAGAGCCGTCAAACGGAGACTGTGGAGAAAAGAAAGAAACTAAGAAGCTGTCCTGAGGGTGAATTCACACAGATCAATAAAAATGGAAATAAGAAATATAAACATGACTTTCACAGACATGACATCAGTATCTGCATTTCTATTTGACATTTTAAAAACTTTGATTTTACAGGATGTTTAAATTCTATGCAGAAAATGTGTGTGTGAAAAAAGGGAATAAGATGTTTTTTTACCTCCAATCTGAGATTAATTGTAAACGATAACTCCTGTTGTGCCGTGTGGAAGAACATAATAAACCATACATGTGTTTTATGATCAGCAGACGTGCACAGGCCCGGGCAGCAGCGTGTGTTTGTACCTTGTGGTGCTGTCCGTGCAGGAGGAAGTGTAATGTGATGAGGTAGTAGTTATGGGCCGGCGGTTTCATGTGAAAGACAAAGCGATGGATGCAGTACTCGATGAATGACCACAAGAACCAGCCCATCAAAAAGAGCAGCGGGAAAATGGACTTATGGATTGGGAGAGAGACGTCTACACACACACACACACACACACACACACACACAAATACACAATAACTGGAGGTGAACATGATGAAAACAAATACAAGTACATTATACTGCACGTCGGTGAGTGTATGTGAATGAGTAAATGTCTCAGGGGCTTGTATATCGTATAGTGTTAAAGAAGCATGCAGGTAATCAGTGAGTGTGTTACCTGAGGTGAGGACTATCCGTGTGGTGCCCTGTGCCAGGGTTGTGTAGCAGTACCAACTGAGATAAAACACAATAGGAAGCCACACCACTGGTACCCAATACCTGTAGACAGACAACAGAGCGGCTCTTTACACAACACAACAAAGATCTTTGTATTTTTATAGAAGGAATCTGAGATATAAGAGGAGCAGACGCCTCAGATGTGATGAACAGGTGGAAAAACACGGACGACTTATTACCTTTAAAATGCATTAACAGATCCTGAAGTGGATCCCTGGTGACATTATATTGTTATTCTATCTTGTCATGTTACAATTACCAGGACGTCTTGGTGCCGGCCTCCAGTAAAGGGTTTCCAAACAGTCTGATTGGTCGGTCGACTGGCTGGTGAACCCACGCGTCATATTTCTCTCCGAGGTGGCCCACCTGCCACGCCAGGGGCTTCCTCCAGTCCACCAAGTCCTGTGGAGAAATACACCAGGAGAGATCTGTAAAGAGTATTTACACACAGGTGATGTATCTGATGGAGACGAAGAGAACAGGGCTCTCCAGGAGGAGGCAGCAGAGAGTTAAAAAACGGTTGACCTGCGGGTACCGGTCAATCCAGGAAGTGACTGCATGCTGTGTGTGTTTCTACGTGTTATTCTGCAGGTTTGCTTCTCTGCAACCGAGGAGCCGACCGCAATGAATACGTTGTTCCGAGTCCAAAGACCAGAAACTTTTACGAGCTTTTTACAGGCTCCTCATGCTCGATGCTACACGTGAGACCAGAAGCTTTGGCGTGTGAGGAAACTATGAACATGCAGCTGATCTGAAAAAAGTACAAATGTCCGGTTAAAGATGACACTCAGCACCAACACTCTCACTCAGTGATGCTGATTATTACCTCAGATTTCCATCAAACCTGGAAGGATGGAACATGAGGCCAAGAACCAGAGCAGGAACGTGTGACGTGGATCCAGACAACGTTTCTTTAACATGACAGGACGGAGCTCGATGCAGGAAATCACAGTCATATTTAAAGGACTCTTATCTGTGAGGGTTTGGTGTCTTGGCAGAACTGAGCTCGACTGAGTGACGTCCTACTTTAGGAAGCGATGATTGTTGCCCAGGTGATGGCGTCTCGCTTATGATGCCCCGCTGAGGATACTGGTATCAGGCACGGACTGACACAGTCACCTGAGGTTGATTACAGAGTCTCAGGCTCATTACGTGTGAGAACAGGTTGCCGCCCAGGTGATAAAGTGTTTATCTCACACACACTGATTTAGTCGCAAAGACCAGAGGAGACGCTGGTTTGTCTGAATCCTGCAGCACAATGAGTAGATTTTATGTTTTAAAAGTGAATTCACTCACACTGAGAGTTTAGTGGCACTGACTGGTCATATCACCTCAGGGTTTATAAGTTATTAACCAAAGAGCACGCCGCCTCGTGAGTCATGACACTGATTTCCGTCTTTATAATTAGCTCTGTTCACTCAGTGCAAAGTGATTAAAAGTCTTCAGTCTGCTTTTGTGCTGACAGTGACAAGAAAAACAACACAACTCCACCGAGGCCGAGAAACCATTCACATGACTCTTACAAAAGGAAAAAGTGAAGCGGTCTGATAACCTAAACGACTAATTTGTCATAAAACATTGTTTAAAGAAAGTGGAACCTCTCCTTCATCTGCATCCACACCAACATTATCCTCCGTCCTTCCCAGGCCCCTTCACCACGTTCGGTCTGTGGAGTTCGGCACCAAACAAACTCAAACCACCTATTTTCTGAAGAATTCTTTTTCTCAAATGCAGCAGACAGCTTGTGTCTGTCCGATTTGTTTTGTATGTATTGTTAACAACGTACATCTTCATGTCTATTGGAAGACGTACACCCCAGGGGTCGTATGATAGCGGAGAATTAAAAACACACAGTCGCTGACAAGTGTACATAAAGTTTTACGTCGGTGCGATCACAGTCATGAGGATAAAACACTGAGGCAACAACAACTAAAAGCACAAGTCAAATCTCCACCTGCAGCGTCAAAACAAAGAAGTGAAACTTCCTCTCACATGGTTTGTTAATCTGCACTGAACTTCTCTCTCACTGAGCGAAACGACGCACTGATACAAGTTGCAAAGAGCCGCTTGACTTATTCAACTTCATTCAAGTTATTCAAGTTTGAAGGCGTAAACGTTACCGTCACCTCAAATGGCCGATACGAGAGCACGGCTTTATCCTCCAGTGCGTGGAACTAAAGATCAGAGCATCAAGAGAGGAAAATAAAGTGAAGAAAACACAGAAGAAGAGAAATAAAAACATGGAAGCTTCTGTTCGATGAATCATTATCAGACTGACGTCAGCCGATCCGGTTAGAGTCAGCGAATCCGATGTTTTTTCCCAAAATCCGATCATAACAACAAAGACATGAGTCTGCGTCGGAAATTACCAGGTGACAAAAGACAAAAGAAACTGGGCTACACGCATGAGAGGAGTCGTGGTTCACATTCCTGCGATCACACACACACACACACACACACACACACACACACACAGGTGAGTATCTAAAAACAGATCAGCACAATGTGTCCACACTAAATGGACCATGATAGCAAAACATTAAACCTTTATAAAATAAAGGTTTAATAAACCAATGAGGTTTCGTCACATGAAGCAACACGTTACAACACACACACACACACACACACACACACACACACACACACACACACACACACACACACACACACACACACACACACACACACTCTTCTCACTTGATTTATTATTTCTCAATCTCTAGTTTCAAGTCTCCTTCAATACAGCTGATGATGTTCATTTTGTACATTATGTCCCATTTAGACAATAAAGCAACGTGAAACTTCTGGTTTCAAAAACCAAGACGCCGCCAAACATGACACCAAGTCTGAGGCTTCAAAATGGCAGCTCACAAACCAGTGGATTGACACACACATTCTCCACCATCCGCTGGACCGAAGCAGATGACTTCTCACTGCGAGAGACGCAACTTTATTTGAATTGTTTCAAACCAGGAAGAAGAAAAAAAAAAGGTTTGAGAAACATAAATTAAATGATTCCAGTTTACAGCTCATTATAATAATAATAACAATAATAATTTCACAATGTGCACTGAAGTTTTTAAAGTATTTCCTGTGTACTTTGCACATGGGTTTGGTCAGAACGTTGTGTTTGGATCAATGCACTGATACTCGGGATGCAGAGCAAACAAGACGGACGGGCTGGTTCTGTCATCACGCTGTGCTGAGGCCTGGTATGAAGATTCAACTGCCCAGATTTGACGAATCACATGAGTCTGATTTAAGTGAACAGAAGTGAGTCATGGTTTGTTTGTTTGTGAATCTTGGGGGATTTTTTTCAGACAGGAAACTCAAAGTCTTTGTGAGAGGATCAGATATGCACATGTAGGTGAAGGTTGCATGTGATGACATTATTGTTTCATGTCTGTGTGCAGGTTTCTTTGTGCAGCAGTGTGAGAACTTCAGAGTGAACTACAAACAACAAGGACATTTCAGGAGGCGAATGACCTGACGACCGCTCACCCACATTACCCACAAACACACACTCCTGTCTTTCTGTGTTTGTCAGCGAGCCCATTGATATAAACACAGTCCAAAGATGTCGTCACTATATTGAGCAGTGTGGGTTTTTTTTAGCTGTAAACTAAATTATATCACATTTCTAACAGAACCAGGACCTCAGGAATAATGCTGTGCATCGTTCAGAGAGACAAAGAGATACTGCAAGTAGAAATACACACTATCCTATTCATCACATTCCAGTTAAAGTCAAACACACAGACAAACGCACCTTATCCAGGTCTACAGAGCTGCAGCGGCTGTATGGGCCGCTCTCATCCTCCTCCTCCTCTTCTTTTTTGTCCGTCATCTTTTCCTCCATCTTTCCTTCTGTCTGCTCGGTGGCATTCCTCCTCTCTCTCAGGGTCTGAAGAAAAAACAAGATGAAAATGGACACGGTGAACAAATAGGAAAGTCACCCAAAGATCTGATCTGTGGACGGGAGGATGTCTCCTTCCGACAGGACAGACGGGATGTTAATCCTCTGGAGTCTGGGGTGATTTTTATGATGTACAACTTCAAAGTGACAAATGATTCGTCTGGACATGTGAGCAATGTTGTGCCAAAAAAAAAATACGATAAACTGAGGAGAGTAATGTTTGTTTATGTTATAAATAAAGTAAAAATACAATTCATTCAAAAAAAGCCAAAATAGCCGAGAACTCCTAGTGATGAAGTCGTGTCAGGTTTATTTTTTTATTTATTTATATTTCCTGTTGGTTTTTCTAGGCTATGATAAACTCTGGTTAAGAAGAAATACACTTTTCCTCAAACTGTCTTTTTACAAAAGATGAACACAACCCGATTATCTGTGTGTGTGTGTGTGTGTGTGTGTGTGTGTGACACAGTCCATTATTTACATTTGTAATCTTCAACCTTTGGACACCTTTGTGTGCCTGAGAAACACCTTCGATTGTCACTGATTCTGAAGCGTATTTGACCACGACCACGTTCGATAACCCATCAATCATTGACATGTTCGCTTTGACTTCTACGTGTTATTAATGCACATGAATGTTATTTAACCTTGGTCACTTAGTATAAATATGAAGTTTTCCTCTCAAGTTCGAATACATTTTTTAAATTTTTAATGAGAAGTGATGTATGAGGGCTGTGACTTTTTAATCTGTGTGACAGACGGAGATTTGTCCTGATCCGCTCCAAATATTAATTCAATGAGTTCATCCTCGGGTCCCACCCCTCCACAATCTTATTCAGATTAATTCAGTAGTTGTAAAAACAGATAAAACAAATCCAGATAACGCGACACCTTCGGTGGAGATAATAGAAGAACCTCGTGGACTCAAGTGCAGCTGCTGCAACAGGCTTTGGACATTTAAAGCCTCCTCTTCGTTCCATAAACAGAACATGATGGAGGAGTTTGTCTCATATATCAAGTGACGTTCTTGTCTGTTTAATATTAAATACATCAGCACATTTCTTTATCTGGAGCTCACACACACACACACACACA